ACTGCACATTTTCTCAAATTAAAGCTTTTACAATATTTCGCGGCGCCCCTGTAAAGAGGCCGCGGCTCCCCGGGGAATCACTGCTATAGAGGATCTAAACAAATGAACTGGATACAATACATTGTATAGCAATCAGTAAGTCTCTTAGACCTAAAAAAATCAATTCCGTTAAAGTTCAATTTTTTATTTTTCTAGTAAAAATCAAGAATTTTGACATTATCAAAAAATTAAGAGTTTAATAATAAGTTATTGGATATCAGTTTATTTTAGTTAGGACAGTTTTCCAGAACAAGTAAAGATATTTTTCGTATTTTTTAAGCAGTTTTTCGAGAGTACCAGCAGATCATATAAGATGCATTAACACTAGTTGATTTAAGGTGATGAAGCAAGGCTATTTAAAATTCAACGGAAACGTAAGGCCTAATTATATCATCATGGGAAAAATTCAACTACTGGTCATTCATCCCCTTAAACAAAATGGAGTGAATGTATTTTAAATATAGAGCAAAATAAATCAAAAAAAGATATTAAACATAAAGGGACATTTAAATAATTTTTAACATCAAATAATAGGAAATATACCAATAAGCTGAAAGAAATGAAGCTGCATATAAAGGAAAGCATCTAGTGGTGAATGTCCGACAAATATGAAATAACACATGTAATAGACTATTTACCATTTGGTAACATAAAAGTAGAGCAGGCGTACAGGACTTCGGTGTTCATTTTCACCCGCCTCAAGGGCCATTAGACTAGTATCACCAGGCAATCCGCCCAACAATTCGTTTGGAAGACAGACGTTAATTGGCTCTATAGGCCAATGATGAGCTTTTGAGGCAACACTTGACAGATCCTCCTCGACACTAGGCATGAAATGTCGCAAAGACAGGCGGCTATGAGCCTCCCCAGAGCGGATGCCGAAATGCTTAGTGTTAAAGTAAAGCATTGTAAATAGCAGAATCTAGAAAAAGAGCCAGATAAAAAATGAAAATTTGAAACGACAGAAATCAGGGCGAATAATTGAAGTGAGCGAAGTGAAAATTAAATTGCAAGCCTTTAATGAAATAATGTTTTTTATATGGTGTGTATCGTTAATTTAAATAATCATTGAACAGATGGGATCCGAACTAGTCCGGAATACTATAAGAACTCTAAAAATATTGGAATTTTAAAAATGTTGAACTCATGAATATATGAAAAAAATTTAACTTCTAATACGGATCAGAGAACAAATAAGTCTAAAGTATCCTTTAGTTCTATTGTCGTGTATGACAAGGCTTCGAATATTGTTAATGTACCTTGAGACCCAGGCTAGATCGAAAATTCTGCCAACCCTGTTTGAGAAAGCATTGCGGGAATAAATGACAGGTGAAATTTGTTGGTGTGAAGATTTTAATTTCGTATGGAAGTACATGATGAAGAAATTCGTAGGAAACGTCGGCTGATTCGCGTTGTACTGCAGCCGTTTGGCCGGCTGATACATCAACCTGAACGTTATAATAATGCAAAATGGTTGGAGTACATGCGAATCAGCCGACGTCTTCTGGTGAGATCGACCAACTAATCTCTTCATCATCTACTTCCAGA